ATCTGTATGATATATCATTTGGTCAATGTAACTGCAATATTGGCCTCACAGAAGCTGTAACATGTAGTCAAGCTAACAAATCACTATTAATTTTTCATTATGTGCTGTGAGCATCCTAACTCCTCTGATGAATCAAGACATTAATGTGACCCAATGTGAACACATTTGGCCAAAAAAATGCAGGACAACTTTAAATCATCTTATATCAAGGGTTCACCCGTATGTTTTTAACGCATAGCAACTGCAATATGCAGCTATGTAATCGCAACAAGATATTCTGTCCCTATAACGATGCAACCCTTATTCCTTCCATTTAAAACCGGGATGATTATTACCACATCAAAGAAAGAACACTGGAGTCCTGTGCTGGATACTGAGGGGGTCTGAGAGGCCATAGAGGGCAGCACCCTGTGTCATCAGTAAGACCAGCAAGAGCAGCTGTGGACCTCCCAGACCAACAAACACACAATAAAAACACTGATCTTCACCTGCCTGCCTAATACAGAGTAGTCAATCACTCTCTCTCTCTTACACACACACACACACACACACACACACACACACACACACACATACACACACACACATACATAGATAACTGGGGTGACCATTACACACTAACTGGCTGGCATGCTGAACGGGAAGTTTGAGAACAACAAAAAAGCTGTGAACTTGTATTTTTGCATTGCAACTTTTCATTCTGGCCTATAGTGATACAGTGTAGGCTTATATCTTTAGGCTAAACTAGCTGAGTTTGTCTGAACTCCATGGTTCTCTTGGCCACAACTTCTTCCTATCTTGGTAGTTACATTGGTTCAAAACTCTGTAGTCTAGCAGGCTATTGGAATAGGAGGTGCTATATAAACATGGTCAGTCTATGAGAGGGGGTTTTCAAGACACTTTCCCCCCACGCCAGAGCTATTCAGCACACAACCATAGTGGGCTTCAACATCAAACAGATTCCTGACCCTGACTCCCCACTGTCCTTCCCATATAACCCACATTTTACAACACCCACCCCCTTTCAGCCACACACATGCACACTGTTGGTCCACACACACACACTGACACATATACACTGTTGGTCCACACTTCACTCCCGCATACACTCCTATATTGCTTAAATAAAAAGCTTCTAGTTCCAGCTGGAGATTTACTGCATGAGGTTAAGGGAGGTTTAAAGTTGGGTGATATTCCTGTTACAAAATCATAGATACCCCCACAGACACCGTTTTTATTCGTATCCAAAAAAAGGAGTCATGCAAAAAAGATTGCAGAATCATATTGTAACCAGCAGATATAAAAAATAGCAGCATCAGTCATTTAGTTTTTCCCAATAATTGGCCTCACATCCCAGTCTAGTCTGAAATAAAATCCGTGTTTTATTTGTAACTTGTATTCTAAGGTTGACAATCCCTCACGACATGGGCAGTGTGAAAGGCAAAAAGTGCAGAAGTCATTCCTTTTTCACAAGTTTGTGGTTTTACTACAAGCCCTTTGAATTAAATTGTGGAGGTGAAATCAGTCACAGCATGACAAAAACAATACAACATAGTGAGAAATTACACAAAAAAACGTACTGAGAAAAGTGAAAATAAAACAGAAATGTGTTTACAATCGAGGCTGAACACTTGGATCCAATCATTGTCATCTTGGAACAATAAAAAACCGCACTGAAGTGCATTCTTGTTTGGCGCTTTTTCTGAAGCAAAAACAAAGGCAACGCTAACTAACAAAGGAGTCCCAAAAAACAGACAGCCTGAAAGGGAGTCCAAAAAGCCTGCGCCGTCAGCAAGCACTCCCTCAAACTTTAACACGCAATGAAATATTAAGTTATCTTAGAAACGCTTTGTTAAAATCAAAACAAAGCAAACACTTCCAAATAAATATTTATGGTCAGAAACACGGCTCGCTCCGTTTTGTTCTTTCTCCCACAACACTGTGAAAACCATTAGGCACACAGGACTCAATTATTTATGTTAAAACACATGCACACACAGCTCTGTCGAGTCCAAATTGTTCAAACAGTCCAAGTCTTTCAGCAGGGATCTTTACACAGTCTTGCCAAATCACTTCACACCATCTGGCAAACACACACGCGTTCCGCAATGCTTGTCCAATGTTCTCCCAATGTTCTCAAACTTCTTATTAGAACCTCCACTGAAAGAAGCCAAGCAGGTCACTTGAAGCTGTCTTGAGATCTCCACAGAGTCCCACCCAAAGGTTCCATAAAGCTTGTGCGTTTGATACGTTGGGATGCCTGAAGAGCCATTCAGGAATTGCTCAGCCTACCTTAGCCTCAAGTCATAAAAGCTGTGGTCATGGCAATAAGCTCTGTGATACAACCTGAGATCATTTCAAGCTAACAAAAAAAACGCTTTAGTACTATCTAATCACTCCAAACGTAATAAAACTCAGGCTTTAAAACTCCACCTCTGCTTTATAACTCCAACTGACCTCACCTTGGCTTTTATATCAAAAATACCTTCAAAGAAATGACAAGACAACAAAGGATTTTCATCTCTCCATTTCAGCAGTGGCCCTACCAACATACCAGCATTCCTTACAATGTTTTTACTCCCCTATTTCCTGTATATCTGAGCTGTCCTGTTGACTTTCTGCCTGTTTTCCCTCCTCATACCAGCCAAAGCCACTCCAAATAAACTCCAGTGGCACTGAATGACCTTCCTTAGCAGCAGTCCCAAAGCCTTGGTCAGTCCACCTTCCCCAGTGGTTTACGTGAAGAGCGAGAGAACCTTACCCCGCTGTAGCTATCATATGACGTTTAATTAGAGGATCGCACCCAGATAAGGAAACACTTCAGTAAGCAATGCAACGCTGACCCAAAGGCTACAGTCCCACAAACTTTCAGTGGTTTCTGACAAGAATTGGTGGCTATTGCATTTTCATGCACTTTAAAGAAGCCTGCAAAGTGGCCAAAGTCTCCTGCTTTTTGTGTGGGCCCTTTAGAGTGGCCTGCTGGATTCCCCCTCACTCCACCCCAGGCCTCTCAAAAAACTCTTTTGAGACGCGACAGCCCCCAACCCGAAAGAGGCTTACGCTCCCTCAGAAGTGCTTCCAGAGCATTTCTGCCCTCCTCAAACAACAACGTTCTTATGTGTTTACCAGGACGCCAAATCGCAGACAGGCTTGCAACCCCCCCAACTCAGTTTCACAATGCAGCCCTGTCACCAGCCTGTCAGGCCGCAGTGCTTTCAAGCCTGCCATGATCTATCACCTCCAGAGAGGACTGCATCTGTTCAGCTGTTCTGAACCCTGACACATTTGCTTCCCTGTTGCTTGAACAAATCCATGTCATGTATGAGTGAAAATGTGAACTCGACTATGTTCAGCTTTCCCCCAATATAACCACACCTTGCGTGCAAAAGTGGAAACGTCCGATCACTTTTATAGCACTGGTGTAAAAGTTTGAAATCCAAGCACCACTTTGTGTGAAGCACTTTTTTTCTCCTCCTTGCCTCCTTCCTTTCAGCAAAATGACTGCCTGTCAGGTGCAAACAGACTCTGGACCTTTGTAAAAACTTCCAACCAGACGTTTCCCCTCCCATCCTCCTCAGGAATAAACATGAAGAAATCCGCTCTACCTCAGGCTTCAAAGGGAACATTTGCAATTGTAGAGAGAACTGGCAGGCGTTTTAAAAGCGTTCATTAGTGGGTGTCAGGCAAGTGTGTGTTCAAAACTTCTCCAATCCACAGCCGAGGATAACGGCTCTGCCTTCTGTAGTCAGGCTCCAACCGCTAAACAAAGCCATTCTTGTGGCTTCAGCTTGGTATGCTGACTGTTGTTCTCCATTATGGAAAACACAACGCCAAAGCTCACGTCCAAAGCGTCAGAAAGCCATTAAAGAAAGTGAGGGTGGTCTTCAGCCAAGAGCTTGGGGTCACAAAAGGGCAAAAAGCTGGGAAGAATTACCACAGGCACCGACAGTAACACTTACACTAGCTCACCTCAGTGAGTTATCAAAGTCCTTCACTCACAAAAAGTTTCCTACAGCGCTTAAAGGAAAAAGCCACAGATTTTTCAAAATTTCTACATAATGAAATGGATGAGATGTAAACAAAGCCAGTGGTGTGGTTTGAAATGCTCCAATCTAAAGAAACTTACCAAGTCAGAATTATTCACAGTGGTGGTGATAGGAACCAGGCGTCCATCTCTAAAAGCTCCCACATAAAAAGTTATTACAAGAAATAATTATGGTATATGCTGACTGATATCTGAGACACTGTTTTATGATGGTTTCGTGATAAAGTTTTGACCTTAAATGCGAAACTATTTATTTTAATCTATTTATTCGTGGCAGAGGAGCGCATGCAGGGTGTTGTAAGGCAAAATAGTCCCCAAAGAAAACTTTTTTTTCTATTTATGACTATTTTATCATTATCAATATTACATAGAAACACTCAGAAGACATGTAGGTTCGCTGGTGATTTTAGATAGCAAATAAAATGGCTATATTTGTGTTCCTATCTGGTTCCTGTCACCACCAGTGTAAAGAAATCTGAGTCTATAGGTTTCTGTGAACCATTAAACCACTTTACGTCAAACCACTGAATGACTTTACATCTCAGTGACTAGATTATTCAGGAATTTTGACAAATTGGGTGGAATTCCCCTTTAACATCTTTCAATGGTTTATGTCAAGAGCAGACAGTGGAGCTGCCTACGACGCTGCGATAAACGTCTTAGTTTGCGGAGAAACTCGAAAATACTGACATAAGTAAAGTAACTTTCAGTTTTTTGACAGTTTTTTACATTTTCTAACAAAAAGCTTTAACATCTAAACGGCTATTCTCGAGAAAACTTTCCTGTGGAGACCAACACGAAGCGCGAGCCGCCGCGCGCGAGAGCAACGAAGCTGAAGCTCCAATCCAGATATGAATAAAGTAGTAAAAAACACATTTTAACGCGTTTGGTTTAAATACACATATTTTAATGCATTTGAATACCACATAAATGTCATTAAAACAGACAGACTCACCCTTGAAGACAGTCCGCAGGTACTTTTTTGGTGGCAGTCCTGTTGTTCTAGGCGAGATCCAGTGCAGTAATACTTCTGCTTAACGAGCCAGTCGTCGAGTCCTTTTCTCGCCAAGCAGGCATTAACTACGAAACTGTCGCCTAAAAACAGCAAAAGAAACTCAGTCTGAGTTGTTTTTCGTGATAAATCACGTCCCGTGGTCTCCTAAACTCTCACTCCCGATTAACCTTAACGATAGAGGAGTTGGGGTCTTATCTGGATAAATTGTAGCTACTTTGACAAATTAAGGACACTGCCTTAAAGGGGAATACCACCGATTTTCCATTTTTCATAATTTCTAAAGATATATATATATACAAAGTCATTCTGAGGTTTGGTACGAGATGGTCCGTTGTAGAGAAAGTTACACACTGATTTCTTTACAGTGGTGGTGATAGGAACCAGGGGTCGCCATGTCTACAACACAAATATAGCCATTTTATTTGCTATCCAAAACCACCAGTGAACCTACACGTGCCTTCTCAGTTTTTACATGTAATGTTGAAGATTGTACAATAGTGGAAAATGAGAAAAAGGAAGTTTTCGTTGGGGACTATTTTGCCTCACAACGCCCTGCATGTATCCCTCCTCTATGAATTGATTCAAATAAATGGATTAATAAGTCATTTTAGGCTAAGACTATCACAAACCTATCGTAAAACAATAACTCAGGCATCAGGCACGGTATTCATAAACATTTTATGTAATAACTTTCTGTGAGGGAGCTTTTAGAGGCATTAAACTCATCAGACATCTGGTTTCTGTCACCACCACTGTGAACGATTCTGCCTCGGTAAGTGTCCCTAAAACGGAGCATTTCACGTCAAACCACTCTGAATGACTTCGTTTACACCTCCACTATTTAATTATGTGCAACTTTTGAAAAATTGGTGGAGTTCCCCTTTAACACCACTTTTCTTTTTCTCTCACACGACACAAATGCACTCACCTTCAGGGCTTTCCCTCGGTTTACAAATAGCAGCTTCCCAGGACATTTCACAAGAGAAAGAAGACACGGTGAGACATGGTTAGTCCAGAGAACTACAGCTTCACAGTTAAAGCCAAAAAAAGCAAGAAAGAAAGAGAGAGATGAAAGAGAAAAAGCCTTACCATGTTTCGAATGAAGTTTACCCATTTCTCCTCATTGGGTTGGAATAGCAAAACATCAGAAATGAATATAATCCAGAGACGAACGGTTAATGTTTTCCTTCACACAGCAGTGTCCGTACAGAAGAGCGAATAAACCCTCGCGGTATATCCAACAGAGACGGATCTCAGCTTTGATCCCCCCTCTGCTCAGCTCAGCTCCCTCCAGTTTTTTCTCTCCACCTGTATTCGGTATAAGCCACGCCCCTCTGTGCTAAGATTGGCTGGTAGCTCTCACTCACAAGCGGACCGCCGAGCCAATCCTAGCGCGGGGGGCAGGACAGCACTAACCAATCCTGGCACAGGGTCGCGGGGCATGCCGGAATACGGGTGGGGAAAATAATAAGTGATTGACGCCTCGCAGCTTCGCTCTATTTCATTGGTCCAAAAGCGGCACATGAAAGCGCGAGCCGGGATTCTTTTCGAGTCTCCAACTATAAAAAGAGCAGCAGAGAAAAAAGCAGAGCGACTGCTGCAGTCTGGGTGAAATAAAAAGCTGAGAAAACACGACACGGATGAATTAAAATGAACCGTCGACGACATTTGTTGTTTCTGCAACTTTTGGCTTTACTTTAGTTAGTTAATTAGTTAAAGACGTTGCCAAAATCAACACAAGTAGTGTGAAGAAAGTCTGCCAAACCAGTAAAGGGGAGTTCCTTTAGTCCACAGTGAAACAGGTAACGTGTCAAACCGTAGCTAGAAGTTTTAGGGGTGGCCAGCGAAGCCCAAGATGTGGACATATGCATTTGGATTAGTTTCCCAACATTTGTTTTAAAGTAAAATGGGGGGTTGGTGAATGTGTTCTAGCTTGCTATTGCTTTAGGATTTAATTCATTCTAAAAAACTGTGTGTATATGAGTAAACCTGCGTTGGATAGGGTCCACTCTCGTTTACACAACAACAGTGGTAGAAAACTGTTAACAGATTAACAGTTAATAATGGCACAGTGAGATGAATCTGGCTGGCCACACTGTCGCTACAATAGGTTTCATGTTTCATAAATCATTATCAGTAACCTCAGTTCATTTTTCATTTCAGCAATTAGTGAAGTGGTCTGAATTGTAGGATGGTAGTGCACTATGGATGTTATGGATAACCAGACAGCAATGTATAAGGTAAACCAAAACACATGCATGCATTTAACTGTAAAAAAGTAATTAGCATTATAAATGGTTGTGGCTGAGTCATTTTTGATAGTTAATTAATCTTACCATATGATTATGCTACCTTATGAGCAGCACAGCTGAAAGGACCCCAGTGCACATTCACTACAGTCTGTTTGCGAGCCTATTACAGCAAGACACGTTAATTATCAAAGGCAGCATCATCAGACTCCTATAAGTGATTCTTACACTGCTGGCATATTTTCACCATAAAGCATAGTTGATGCTTTATTGATCAATTATTATCAATCATTGGTCATGGCTGACTGATGATGGCTGACTTTCTCACTTTCACTAACTGGGGTGACCATGCTTCATTCAAGGGTGGCACTGGCCACCCCATGGCCTCCCCCAGGCTATGCCCTCTGGTGTCATAGATATAAGATAATAACCTCCTGCCTCTTGGTAATGTTTCATAGATATAGGATAATAACTGCATACCACTTTGCTGCCAGTAATCCTAGATCTGACCTCCGCCCACTAAAGTCTGACTCCAGAGTCCCTCCAGCTTCTGCAGTGCCCTGTTACTATTGGGCCTGAGCAAGTCAGTAAGAATATATGACATCACAGCCACCCCAGCCGAGACTCAGTATAAGAGGAGCCAGTCCAGTATGTGTTATACTACCAAGGTTCAACAAACCTAAGACTTCCCGTCACTTACTACAGTGGATCTGACTAGATAACCAAAGATTGGTCATGTACAGGGTTCAAAAGTAGTCTTGTGACACTCTCTGAATAGAATTTATATGGTGTTTATTTGTTACTTTCCAAAATGAATGCATCATTTATTATTCATATCCATCAGAAAGGTCATAACAAGCAACCACAACAACGATTTTAATACATGAGATTTTAAAAAATCCCAGTAATTAATTGAAAACTTAAGTAAGGCAAAAGTTCTCAAACAGTAGAGGGTCAAACAGTAGTGTTCTTTCCTTCATGTGTTCTTTACTTCATATTTAATTTTTCTCAATATTTAAGTTTTATTAGTTTTGTAACTTTATCTTTTAAAATTTACAGTCAGGTGAGATGGAATGTTAGGTTGGAGATCTCTGATTTGAAAATGTGCATTTGGATTAGTTTCCCAACATTTGTTTTAAAGTAAAATGGGGGGTTGGTGAATGTTTTCTAGCTTGCTATTGCTCAGTTGGACTCAAAGTATTGATACATAGGTGTGCAATTAAACTTTGGGCCACTGGTGTGCCCTGGCCTTTAAAAGTGTTTAATTAATTAGAAAAGAAATGATGATCAATGTGTCCTCAATGTGTCCAATGTGTCCTCAATGTGTCCTCAATGTGTCCATTGAGTATGGGTCTGTCAGGTCTGTGTGTATATGAGTAAATCTGCGTCTGATAGGGCCCACTCTCATTTATACAGCAACAGTAGCAGAAAGCTTAACAGATTAACACACTGTCACTACACTTTCATGTTTCACAAATCGTTATCAGTAACTTCAGTTCATTGTTCATTTCAGCAATTAGAGAACTGGTCTAAAATGTAGGACGGTGGTCCACTATGGATGTTGTGTAACATCCAATTACAAACTACTTAAGGTACCAACCTTTAGCAACTTGATGTTTCATTGCTTCAGAAAGATTTTAGCTAAAATTCAAAATTCCTGAATAGTCATTCAGAGTAGTTTGATTTGAACTGTGCCATTTTTAGGAAACTTACAGAGTCAGAATAGTTCATAACGGTGGTGATAGTAATCAGATGTCTGAAGAGTTCAATGCCTCTAAAATCTACCTCACAGAAAGCTATTATTTGAAATGGTCACAAACACACTGCCTGATAGCTGAATACATGAGATACAAGATGTTTTACAGTGTTTTTCCTATTTTCATTTGTGGAGAGGTGTATGCAGGACGTTGCAGAGCAAAACAGCACCATTTAAATTATTTAATTATCAATATTCTAATATTATAAAATAAAACTAACAAGACAGATTTAAGTTCACTGGTCATTTTTAATAGTAAATAAAATGGCTATATTTTCATTGTAGAGCTCAAGACCCCAGGTTCCCATAACCATCATTGTGAAGAAGATTTGAGTTGATAAGTTTCTAGAAATTAACATTTCATATCAAAACACTCACAGTTCACTGGATAATCTATCTAGTATTAGATAACTAAGGTAATCACACCAGTTTTTTTTTCAGAAATAACATCACATACTCTCTCTCCCAAACGTTTTTTTGAAAAAGTATTTTATCTGCATAAAAGTAACGTTAGTGTTTGTGTCTGAATGGGAGAAAGACTTCTTTTCGTTTTTTGGACATATCACAGTTTTTCAGAAGTGGTATTCACTTTTCTTTTATTTCTCCACCATTGCTTTTTATTGAGGCGCAGCAGGAGACACTCATTAAAATGGCCGCCGCATGAAAAAAAAAGTCTGAAACAGATGAATCGTCCCTGTCCACAGAAGTGAAATTCAAGGTTCGGCCCACCCGTGAATTTTCACACCCATTCAAAATGACAGCCTTGGCGCTGGAGGACGTGGAGAAAACATTACAACCAAGTTGAAGTTTTGCAAAACGTACTTCTGCTTCCTTTGTTTGTCATAAGCTGAACTACTTTCTCTCAGAAGAGTTGGGCCTATCAGATTCCAGGGGTAGCCAGTACCACCTCTCTGACTCAGCTGTTGCCTCTGCTACCTTAAGCCACAATGTAAAGAACTGATGAACTGATGTAAATATACATTCTGGGAAAAACAGGAAAATTCAGAAATTCATTTTATTTGCAGAGCATACTGGGAAAGTGAAAGGGGGTGAATGGATTTTTTTTGTTGGTTTTTGTTAATTTGCTTTTATTGTTTTATCTACAGTTCATTTTATGTTTTTTCACCTTAACATATTTTTCTTACACCCCTAAAAAGGATGGATCTTCAAGGATTCTTTAGTAAAGAAAATGGTTCCCTATAGAACCATTAACACTTAAAGAACACTGTGCATGATCAAAGGGTTCTTTGCATCACAAAAGGGCTCTTTACATTGCTGGAGAATGTGTTGTATATGGTTCTATATAGCACCATTTTGAAAAGGGTTCATAGGCTTGACATCGTAACGTTGAACCATCTACAGCACATTCTTAAACAATTTGAAGAACCATTTAGCGATGCAAAGAACCCTTTAATCATGCGACGCGTTCTTTAATTGTTCATGGTTCCATATAGAACATTTTCTAAAGAACACTTGAAGAACCATCTTTTTAAAGATTGTACCACATATATACATTTTAATGTGTTTTACATTTTTTGTTGTTTAAAGACTTTGTTATTGAGGCTGAACACTTTACCAAAAATATGTCAACAAATAATGCAACAGTACAAAAACAATGTTCCTCCATGAGCAATTTCAAAGATTTTAGGTGTTTCACCCTCCTCAGTGCATAATATCATCAACAGATTCAGGAAATCTTGAGAAATATCTGGCAAGGCCAAAAACCACAAGGGAATCCCATCATATTCAATCCCTCAGATGACACTGCTTTACAAACCAAACGTCAGACTGCATTTAAAGGAAAGCAAAAGTCACTACACTTTGATCAAAGATCACAGAAAAACAAACATTTTGTTTTTTGAAGGATATATAATGAATTGTGCTTAAAATGACCAAAGACTTGAACTAACAAGGTAAAATATGTCCATTTAATTTCAGGTTGACTTCAATGAAATAATGGAAGTTGTGTTCTCTGAGCCAAAGAAATAAATGACCATCCAGATATTATTAGTTCAAAAGCCAGGGTATGTCATGGTATGGGGGTGTATTAGTGCCCATGAGTAACTTGCACACCTATAAAGACACCATTAATGCTGAAATATTTGTACACATTTTAGAGCAACATATGCTGCCTTTTAGACGCTGTCTTTTTCAGGGATGTGCATGCTTATTTCAACATGACAATGCCAAGAAACATTCTGCATGTGTTACAACAGCACTGCGTAATCAGAGAGTGCTAGACTGTCCCAGCTTTTTTGGTACATTTTGCAATTTTGGAATAAGCCTATAT